TGAGAGGGGTTGGCCCTTCCTGTAGAGTTCAAGAAGTTGGGTGAAAACAAGGCACGATCAGAGGGCAGACATCCCACCAATTGTGCAATAACCAATTGTGCAATGTGCTTTGGGCTTCCTTGCTGATCATCTTCCCAAAACAGAGGGGCCACAGTAAGGAGCCTACATGTGCAAACACCTAATACAGTGCCTAGCATACAGTCAGTAGCATATAGGAAGGCAATGCAGTCCAGTGGGAATAGCATGACAGATTTAAAATATGCCCTCAGACTGAGAGTGGTGGCTGATGCCTGTAATCCCAACAATTTGAGATGCCGAGGTGGGCAGCCCACGAGGTCAGGAGTTGCAGACCAGCCTGGCCAACATAGTGAAACCTTGTCTCTACTAAAAATACAAAACTTAGCTGGGCATGGTGGCACATGCCAGTAGTCCCAGTTATTCGGGAAGGTGAGGCAAGAGAATCACTCGAACCCAGGAGGCGGAGTTGTAGTGAGCCGAGATCGCCCCACTGCACTCCAGCCTGGGTGACAGGGCAAGACTCCATTTCAAAAAATAAAAATAAAAAATAAAAAAACAAAGTATGCCTTCACAGCTTCAAATGTGGTTTCTGCCACTTAAAAACTCTGTACCTTGGCCGGGCATTGTGGCTCATGCCTGTAATCCCAGCATTTTGGGAGGCCGAGACGGGTGAATCATGAGGTCAGGAGATGGAGACCATCCTGACCAACATGGTAAAACCCCATCTCTACTAAACACACAAAAATTAGCCAGGCATGGTGGTACGCGACCGTAGTACCAGCTACTGAGTACCAGCTACTCAGGAGGTTGAGGCAGGAGAATCGCTTGAACCCAGGAGGCAGAGGTTGCAGTGAGCCGAGATTGCGCCACAGCTGAGATTGCGCCACTGCACTCCAGCCTGGACAACAGAGTGAGGCTCCGTCTCAAAAAAAAAAAAAAAAGGGGGGGGAGCTGTTGCCTTGTGAAAAGATAGACAAGTTCATTAAATTACCTGGCTTCTGATCTGGAAGTGGGTTACCTGGAAAAAGCATTGTACGCTCTAAAAGTCCTATATTAAAAAAATTATTTAACTTTCTCTTTTTCTTTCCTCTGCCTCACCTTACCCCCTGCACTTCCCAGAATGGGAAAAGGAAGGACTTACTTCATTTTACTAGTGTGGATATGGTCTTCTAGTTAGAGACTGTGGTCCATTATTAAGGAGAACTACAGCTACAATAACACTGTAGATAAACAGGCATTAAAATACTAACAGATCATTGAACACCTGTATTTATTTTTGTTCCAAGAACTCCATATATTCAGATTTTCTTCAAGATCTTGTCCTTCTTTTTTCTTCTTCCGTACATTCCCATTCAACCACCCCTTGAGTATTAATCACTAGTCCAAATGTTTGTTCAGTCCTGACACTGCTATTGGGCGTTTCAGGACTGTTATCACCACTGTCAACTGTCACCTCCACAAGGATAACCAATCAGTCCCTCAAACCCACTGACTCTATAACAGGACATCATCATTCTCCTCAAACTTCCTCCTTCTATGACTTGCAGATGCTTTTTTTTTTGAGACAGAGTCTTGCTCTGTTGCCCAGGCTGGAGTACAGTGGCGCAATCTCGGCTCACTGGAGCCTCTGCTCCTGGGTTCCAGTGATTCTCCTGCCTCAGCCTCCTGAGTATCTGGGATTACAGGCATGCACCACCACGCCTGGCTAATTTTCGTATTTTTAGTAGACACAGGGTTTTACCATGTTGGCTAGGCTGGTCTCGAACTCCTGACCTCAGGTGATCCGCCTGCCTCGGCCTCCCAAAGTGCTGGGATTACAAGCGTGAGCCACCACACCCAGCAACTTCCAGATTCTTAATGATGCTCCCTTATTATTGCAGACGCCTGAGTTCTGAAACCAGAAGTCCTCAAGTCAAATCTGTCACCAAGTGCTATTCTACTTCCTTTTTTCTCTGTTCTATCCACAGTTAAACCCTTACTTGCCCCGAGACATTTACAAAGCTTCCTAACACATCTCTCAGACTTGCAGTCCTTTTCCCTCCAACTTAGCCTAACGCTGATACTGCAATGAGCTTTCTAAAACACAAGGCACTCCCTTCCTCCCATGCCTTCAATGGCTCCCACCTGCAACCAGGATAAAGTATAAACTTCCTACGATGAAATGTAATGTCCTCTACTGTACAACTCCAACGTTAACTTTTCAAACCAAAGTTACATGATCCCTTCACAAACTCTAAGCCTGTGCTCTGCCAAATCAAAACTCTCCTTGTTCCCTAACCCTATCCTGCCTTTTATGTTTTTATGGCTTTGCTTAGCAAACCTCCAGGCAAAGGGTAGGAACTAATCAATGCCAGTTGATTAATCAATTGAAATCAATACCCTGGCTTCTAATCAATAATAGAGTATAGGCAGATTCTAGATTGCAACATTTTTTTGACTTTTCTGAAAGTTTAAACCTTTTCATAATCAAACACTGGGAAAAACATTAGTTAAATGAATAAATAAATGAGAAAATGAATCAGTTGGGAGCTGGGTTACATTGTCTCCCAAGAATCATACAGTACAAAAAGACATGTCAAGCAGTCTTTCTGAAAGGGGTAATGGGACACACAGTCTCAAAAAGGAAAGGAGGAAGGGCTTAGCCTCAGGGTTCTAAGTAAATATTTTGACCTGTAGACAACTCTAAGCAATTTAAAGACAACCAATAACTAGAATCAGACTAGAGATAAAAAGTTAGGAGATAAGTTGCGACTGTATTGGAAAGATAAGCTACAAAGAATTTGCTTTTTCAGGCTCCAAGATGTAAGGACACAATCCTTCCCCCTCTTTCACCACCACCACCCTGTCCTGCACTCCAGGGTCTGACTTAAAGCAATGAAAGCATGTGATTTCATGTTCAAGGTTATACCTATAATATCTCTGAAGGCAGAGAAATCTCAATACCCTGGTTTCAGTTCAGACACGCTGTAATAGCTGTCTTGTAAACTGTCTATTAAGGCTTACATCTTTGAGCTTGCAAATATAGTATAAAAGTTCAAACTCCATTACTGTTTTTACCAGGAAAGTACAGTTCTTAGCTTTTGGCCAGCTTACCTCTCTCCCAAGTCAATATAGATGTTAATGAGTCATTGTTCTAGAGGTATCTTTCTAATTCTGAGAAGCTTGCCTACTTCTTTTAAATGTTCTTAGTTCAGTCAAAGAAATCCCACACTATAAAGCCATTGGAAATGTTAAACTAAAACAATCATGTTTGATCTTTAGTGAACCATACTTCCTATTAAGAAGGGGTCACTGGCCAGACACAGTGGCTCATGCCTGTAATCCCAGCACTTTGGAAGGCTGAGGTGGGAGGATCACTTGAGATCGGGAGTTCGAGATCAGCCTGGACAACATGGCAAAACCCCATCTCCACCAAAGATACAAAACTTAGCCAGGCACGGTGGTGTACACCTGTAATTCTGGCTACTCAGGAGGCTGAGGCACCAGAATCGCTTGAACCCGGGAGATGGAGGTTGCAGTGAGCCCGAGATGGTGCCACTGCACTCCAGCTTGGGTGACAAAATGAGACTCTTACTCAAAAAAAGGAAGAATGGGTCATTACTTATTTACCTTGAGTATTTGGGTGATAATAAACAGATATCTGATGATACCTGAGGCAACAACTGAGTTCCTCCCCTCTCATTGCCTTAGTTCTGTGCATCCCGGGGTAGTATTCAACACTCAATGTTTCCTCTGACAAACTAGATGCTCCCCAAAACAAAAACAAACTCATTTTTTAAAATTGTTATATCACTTGCTTCTTGTTTTTATTTTTTGTGGGGGGTGAACTGGTAGACCCAGCGGACTTTCTTAACATACTCTTCTAAGTCATTCAAACTGTCAGTTAAAACCCACCTATTTCTCAGGTTAGTAGAATCCCACTATAAAGTGATTTATAAACTGGATTTATATAAACTGGGGGACCAACTGCCCCTCCCAAACAACTCCTATAAAAGATTAATAAAACAACACCGTGTTAAGAACACTGACACTACATTATAAAGGGTTTCCCCTGTACTTAGATAGCATGAGGTACACATCTAGAATGCCCAATTAGTCAAAGGGTCTTGACAACCATGCAGACTTTCAGATGCCAACTAAGTCAGTGCAGTGTACTTTTCCAAAGTGCTCCAATTCTCCTTTTGGACAACTTTCTTAAACGTTATTTATCAAACTAATAAAATGTATTCTCGGTGGACTTTTATTTCTGCTTACATCTTTGTTCTTACTCATCCCAAATCAAAGAAAGGAAAAAAAAAAAAAAAAGGAGTTGAACATTTAAGCGGGGAAGGGAAAGGCAAGTACTGAGAGGCTCCTTTTTCATTTACTGAAGCCAAAACTGAGGCTGTGGAAGGTAAGTAACGTCCCTGATGTCATCCAAGTAGTGAATACTAGAATCAGGAATTGCACAGAATTGTCCAGCTCCAAAACCCAAGCACCTTTCTTGGGACCCACTGGGGTTGCAGAGAAGGTGCGGGGCTCACAGGTGACTGCACACGGGTCATGCGTTGCCACAGTCATTATATGGCCGGAGTTTTAAACATTATTTTGTTCTGTCTTCACCATAGACTTCATCATCAATCATAACTGATGAGGAAAATTACACTTAGCTGAAAAGCCAAGTCCCGCGCTAGGGAGGCATTTTCTATATGTTATTTCTATTTCCAATAAAACAAGTATTTAAAAAGAAAAACTTATTATCTCCATCTTTCAGATGGCAAGACTGAGGTTTAGTAGGCTTAAATAATTTGCCCAAGGTCACTAACTAGCCAAGGCCAGAGCTGGGATTTAAATCCATAAATATTTCAAAGTCCTTTTGCTTCTGTATCACCAAGCTGATCTACACGTCGCAGGGAGCTGCTTCCACCTGTCTCCTGTGCCCTTGGTTTCTCCTAATCCTACATTCCAAGAATAAAAGTCTTCCTATGTGTTTTCCTTCCTAGGCTGAAGCCAAGTTTCCCTGCTTTGGGCACGTTCAAATAGAAGGCATTTTCCGCCTCTCCTGCTTCTGAGCACCTACGAAATCCACACATCCCCAAAAGACGCGTTGAGGTAGTAAGAGAAAGTGTCCTGCACTCGCCACCCTCCAGCGCTAAGAGCGGTAGAGGACCCCACAGCTTCGCACTTCCCCAGAGGAGCTCCTGCAGTAGGAAGCGCCTTCTAGCCTGGAAGAACGCTGGGTGCGACAGTTATGCCAGGAACTTTCAAGAGTATTCCCTTGGCTGGGAGCACGCAGTGCATCGCCAATGCTCCAACTTGAAAACTTTGACTCGGCCACAACCACCCCATTCCAGTCTCACCCATGCGGCGCTTTGTCCCCTGTTGGTGCTGAGGGCTTTTGAGATCACCTGTCCCGCGCTCCCTACGTCCGAGGGACCGAGGCGAGGACCTGTCCCGCTGAGCCGGCACGACCCACGCGGGGCAGGCAGCACTTACGCGGCGCAGCCGGTGCTCCTCCCAGAGCCGCGGTACGCAAGGACCCCAGCCGGTTGTGCTTGCAGCGCTTCCCAAGTCAGGCAGAAGTGAGGCAGCCCCACCCAGTCATGAGGACCCTGCAGAACTCCAGCCTTTAAGCGCTCCTTTAGGCTCACATGACCCAGACCTAGAGGGCAAAAGGTACGTCGTGTCCCCACCTCCTGGTCCCAGAAACCTGTCCGCACCAAGTCAGCGCTTCCCATGCTGGGTGGAAACTTAAAAATTAATAAAGATCGTCGGCTGCGGTGCAATTCAGGTTGGTTTGTCCCTTTGTTTTATTCTGATTTTGTCTCCCACTTTTTATTTTATTTTATTTTTTTTTTTTAATTTTTTTTTTTTGAGACGGAGTCTCGCTCTGTTGCCCAGGCTGGAGTGCAGTGGCCGGATCTCAGCTCACTGCAAGCTCCACCTCCCGGGTTCACGCCATTCTCCTGCCTCAGCCTCCCCAGTAGCTGGGACTACAGGCGCCCCCACTTTTTAAAATCTGCTATCTTAGAATTTCAACCCTGTATTTTGAAATTATTTCTGCACTGTAGGACTTACTTGCAAGCCCAGGATTTACATTTGGAAAGCGAGTCATGTTTGATTCCCACTGTTTAAAAAGGCAACACACATTCACTGATGGTCTGCATTCCAGCTGCACTAGCAGTAAGCGCGCACCAAGTGCCACTGTCCTGCCAAGCACTCTCCTGAATCACTGCGCTGGAGTCTCAGAGCCACCTGATGTGTTCTGTATCATTATACCCATTTTGCAAGTGGGGAACACAAACTAAGTGAGGTTAAGTAACCCATCCAGGGTCACATTGCTTTTAAGTGAGTTGAGTGCGTATTATTAACCATCACCAGGTGCTGGGCATTGAGCCAGACAGTACGGGAGCAAGAACTAAAAAAGGCAAGGCGGTTGCAATGGCAAGTAGATAACACAAAATAAAGGAAGGTCATCATTATCAGCAACAGCAGCATCAACTGCCAGACAAGTGGGAGAGGCCATGGGGAATCTTCTGCACTGTCCCCGGCCAACCTCCATCTCCTCACAGCTAGCTGCAGGAGTGAGCCCAGGGAAACCCGCAGCAGAGCAGCCTAGCCAACCTGACAGTCAGGGGAAAAAATTGTTTTACGCCACTTTCAGTTTCGCGTAGTTTGTTATGCAACTAAGGCTAACTAAAGCACTAGTTTTATGAGCTGGAACAAACTCATGTCACTGAATATCTTTTTTCCTAAGTACCTACTTTATTGGGTTGCTGTGAGGACTAACTGAAAAAACGATGTGTAAATCACCCCGCACAGAGTATGTGCTCAGTGACTGCAGTCATTCTTTGCTATCATACCTTCTATTTGGAAGTACTTCCTACCCACCTACCTCTTTACGGAGAAAAATCGGTTTGTGGCAAAATAATTTTTTAAGGCCAAAATCAGCCCACCGTTAATATTTGCAGGACCCAGGGCAAAAGTACAGACAGAGATTTGTATGCCAGATACCTAAATATTTAAAAGTTATACACGAAGTTAACAAATGATTAAATACAATAAGTTCTACCTTCCTACCTAGACGAATATGCCTTGGGAATTGACATGAAAGGCCAGATTGAAACTATGGATGATCTGCACTTAAATATGATGGTGCAGGGAGAAGTGGTTTCTAGTTCCTGGTCTGCAGCCACCTCCTCTCTTCCCACAGGGCTCTAGTCCATTGGTGGAAGCTCAGTCCAGCTTCCCAGAAGCAGCTGTCCCCAGCCACCTCTTGGGCTCAAGAGTATGAACACCAGAGTCAGCAATGTTCGCCCATGGGAGTACAGACATTAGCAGACAACACCGCTGCTGGTGTGCAGACCCCTGAAGGAGGCTCAGTGCCATTTGGGGAGGGAATTTGGAATTTGCCTTCTAAAGTGTGGGCCCTGGACGAGGGCTCCTTGGGTCTAAGTATAAGGACAACTACTGGCCAAACAATACCTATGCCCACATGGAACCACTTAAGAATTAAACTGAATTTTACAGTAAACACAGGATGAGTCATACTGTAGCGTATTTATTCAAAAACAGGGTGTCCCAAAAGTCTTCCTGCAGTTTTAATAACCTCAAGGCTATAAATGCTGCAACTTATAAGAACACCGTTTGAAAGTTAATTTAACACTATTTATCTCTGTGAAGAGTGTTGAATAACACATTTTAATTTTCATTTTTGTTTCAGTTCCCCTGAGTGAAATATGGCATACATTAACCAGAAAAGAAAATTACAATTACATTTATTAAAATAATTAAAACAGAGTCAAAAGAAGTAAATGTTCAAATGAGTTTTGTAAGTTTGTAACATTTCAACTTAAGAAGTTATTAAAGCTTAAAACTGCACTAACCTTTTTGGGGTACCCTGTATTTGGATTTGTCGTGTGTCAGGTTCTGTGCTAGACACTTGATTAAAAAGAAAAAACAAGGAAAAAGATAGTCTTCTTTAAGGAACTTGAAGTTTAGTTGTGGGGAGGGGATGAAGGGGACACAGAGATTGATCCCATCATACAATGTAAGTGCTGTAACTGGGGCTGATAAAGCGTATGGGGGGAACAGAGGACAGGGACCAAATGACTCTGCTCGAAGAGCCAGGGGAATCTTGTCAGAGGACGTGACTTGAAGTTGGACATTAAAAAAGGAATAGCCACTGAGGGAAAAGGTGGCAGCACAGGCAATGAGCAGGCCACCTGCACTCAGGTTGATGCTGTGCTCTCAGACAGATGGACTGTGCGACACCAGGCGTGTTCAGGGTGGGTCGGGGGTTAACTAATACTGAGGTTAGAAAATTAGACTGGAGCCAGCTTGGAAAGGGCGTGAATGCTGAGCTCTAGAGACTGATGTTGTTCAAAATTAGTAGATTGGGAAATCTGTTTCTCTTTTTTTTTTTGAGATGTAGTCTTACTGTGCCGCCCCGGCTGGAGTGCAATGTCGCAATCTCAGCTAACTGCAACCTCCACCTCCCGGGTTAAAGCGATTCCCCTGCCTCAGCCTCCCGAGTAAGCTGGGACTATAAGCGCCCGCCACCACGGCCAGCTAATTTTTTGTATTTGTAGTAGACACAGGGTTTGACCATATTGGCCAGGCTGGTCTCGAACTCCTGACCGCAAGTTATCCACCTGCCTTGGCCGCCCAAAGTACTGGGATTACAGGTGTAAGCCACCGTGCCCAGCCTAGAAATCCATTTTCTTAAAGAAAGAGAATAAAATAAAACAAAACAGTACAGAACAGAATAGAACAGGAGTATGTGTTTTCCAGGGAGGTTGTGACTGAGTGGCTATAAACAGTAGAAATTTATTATCTCATAGTTCTGGAGGCTACAAGTCTGAAATTAAAGTGCCAGCAGGGCCGGGTTCCCTCTGAAACCTGGAGGGGAAGGATCCTTCCTCGCCTCTTCTAGGTTCTGGTAGCCCCAGGTGTTCCTTGGCTTGTGGCAGCATCAATCCACCCTCTGCTTCAGCCTTCCGCGGCTTTCTCTCTGTGTCTTTTCACAGTGTCTTTCCTCCATATGTCTGTCTCTGTGTCCTAATTTCACCTACTTACGAGGACACCAATGACATTGGATTAGGGCCCGCTCTAATGACCTCATTTTAGCCTGATTACTTCTACGAAGACTCATTTTCAAAATAAGGCCACTTCACTGCTGCAAGAGATATTTTTAACCCTTTTCTTGTACTGAGAATAATCAAAGGTGGGCCAACAAATCGGTTTGCAAAGAGATTCGTTAAGCCTTCTTCTCTGATTGGCTTTCTTGAAAACAAAGATTTAAAACTGTCATGTCAATCACAAGCCCTTGTGTTCTCTACACTTGCATATTCTAGCGAGGTTTGGGATTGTTAAGCCCTAGTGGTTCAGAGCATGGGTCAGACCCAGTTCGAATCTAGAACCTTGCACCAATGACCATAAGCAAGTTACTTAATCTCAGTTTTCTCATCTGTACATGATAAAAACACTATTAGCTATCTGCAGTGTTATTAAGAGGAAGAAATGAGATAGGAGTACATATAAAGCGCTTGTCATATATAAAGGCTCAATAAATGACAGCTATAACAATAATAATGGTGATCATGACAATCAAGATTCTAGGCTGTGACTGCAGTTCTTTCCAACTGTCTATCCAAGACAACTAAATTGTATCTGGACACCACACAAAAGGATGCCTCTCACTGACCTATAGCCGGAGCTTTGCTGTGCTCCTTAAATTCCAGTTAAGAAGACACAGAGAACAGATCATTTACACATCTTGATCAGGTAAATACAATTCCAATTGTCTAAGTGTGTAGGTTTGATTTTACATTTGCAGCTGCTGCCACCAAGACAAATGTGGAGCTGGAATGGAAACAAGGAGAATTGATTAACCTTGTAGGCAATCATGCCCCTCTCGGAAGTGTCTAGGTCTCTCCCTGCACTTGTCAAGGCTTCTATAGCCATTGTTCCTTTACAGTGTTATTACTGATCTTCAGTGGGCCGCCTCGCAGCGTGGAAACACAGCTCAGAGGCACAGCGAAAAGAGAAATATCACAGCCCCCATGCGCCACAATTAATTGTTCAATAAACACTTTTCTTAAGGAAAGAAGCCATATGTGTCACACCCACACACTTGCAAAACAACACTGTGCTATTAAAAAAGGGAGGGGTGTGTGGTGGATCCAGCTGAAGAAAGTCTACAGCTGTTCTGCACCTTAGCTATAAGCACTGAAGGCTTCATTAAGTGAGAAGTAGGCCCAGGTGGCGGTAACCAAACTATAAGACACAGGCACATGCCCTGATCAACTTATTGAAGTGCTTCAGTCTTCTTGTACTTGATAAGGAAGGGGCACCTCCTAAGACTAGCCACAGGCTACAGACTCCAGGGAAGTTGTGGATAATTACATGGTAATTATTTCTAATAAGTGCTTCCACTCTCAGCATGATTATCCTTCCCTGGGTTGCTTGCCTCCTTATGCCTGGTTTATGTAGGGAAACAATGTCCAAATTAATCTATGTCTTTTGTAAGTGAGCCTATACCCCTTTGACGATCCAGATGGTTTAGCGCCCTTTAGCAGCAGGTGTTAAGGCTTTCTTACAAAAGGCATATTTTCAGTTTCCCTTCGGCTATGGAAAAAGCCAGGCAAATAAGACTTCGGTGGTTTAAGGATAAATTATGGGATTAATATAGACATGGCCACTAAGGACAGCTGAGCAAGCCCTGTGTAAAACCAAGAGAAATAATCACAGCGAACCTTTGGAAGGATTTTGTGGTTTGCCCAAC